TGCACCATAAAAAGTTTTCTATTTTGTAATTTCATGTTTAATTCAGTATTACTTGCTGTTTCTTTTTAATTATTTTTGGGGGATTTTACTAGAAATTTACAAGCAATTTCTGAGTCAAAATTGTTTTACATGGAATTTCTTCAGTGTACCACAGAAAATGAAGCGGACTAAATTCTAGAGTAAATATCGTTCCACAAAAAGTATTATATCTTGTTTTCCAGTATATATATATATGTATATAAACATTCTTAAAATCAAGATAGATTTGCTTTAGGTGCAGAATAACGAGATATAAAGTCTTGTTAGAAAAAGAAAAAATCTGTCAATGGGATCAGAAAAATAAACTTTATTCAAAGAGAGAACAAGATTATTTTTCTAAAACCACTTGAAAATATTGTTTTAAGCAAAAACTCACTTAAGTTTTGATAAATTTTTCAGAAAATACATGTCATTAAAGAAAGTCTTAAATCATTTGAAACTATTGCAAAAAAAACTTTTTTTTTGTCTTATTTTACAAATATCTAAACATTCTTAAATGAAGATACATTTACAGAAGAAAAATAAAAGCCTCGTTTTCCAAAAAAAAAAAAAAATCAAGATTTCAAGAAATCAAGACTTAATATCTTAAATCATTTAGCGTCTTAAGTAAATGTATCTTGATTAAATTTTTAGATATTCGTGCTGCACAATATTTTTGTGGAAACTGATGCATTTTATTTTTCAGGATTCACAGATGAATAGAAAGTTCAGAAGAACAGCGTTTATTTGAAATAGAAACAGAACCTTTGTAACTATAAATGACTTTACTGTCACTTTTGATCAACTGAATGCGAGCTTGATGAATAAAAGTATTAATTTCTTTCAAATAAATAAATAAAATGCATATCTATTGAATGTAAAATGTAAACAAAACCCATAATATGTCCACAAAAAAAAATCAGGTGGTTGCATTTCGAATTTTCAATTAGTTTAACTTGATGTACTAAAATAACTAAAAATGAAATTAAAAATGAATAAAAACTATATAGACTTAAAAAAAATAATAAAATGACAAAAACACAAAATAACTATAAAATTAAAAAGAAAAGAAAAAATGCGCCGTGTAAATAAGTTCTGACATGATTGACAGCTGTTAATGCACAATTATCATTTTAGATTGACAAACTGTATTACTGTATAAGATCTAATGCCTACCCGTTTTTAAAGCACAATGCAAAACTGTGATAATTCATTCATTGATGCGCTTCAGTCTAAACCCAAAAGCGCATATACTTACTTTCCGGCAACCCGCCAAAATAAAAGCATGCTGATTTTAAATTTGAAAATGATGAAAATTCGTCTTTAAAAAAAATAAGAAAATATTAGCATTTTATTTTTAAGTTTACTATGAAATAGTTGTATTTGTATTTAATACTCCCTTTATATTTTAAAATATAATATTATGATCACACTTTATTATTTAGTTTATTTTATATATACAAAAAGAAGCTAAATAAATAAAGTGCACCAATATTATCACTACGATTAATTTATTTTTTAATAGTTGTATTTAATATGTTACGCTATGTGCAGTGTGAGGACCAAACCAAATCTCCAGGTTCTCTTGTGAGAACCAGGCTGAAAAACATATGTGCACCCCTGAGTATAGATTATAGCCACTGTGCAGAATATATCATGCATGTAGCTTATATATTTCAAAAATAGCAGTTAAGTATATTTAGTAGGCCTATTAGTGCTGTCAAATGATTAATCGCATGCAAAATAAAAGTTTTTGTTTAAATAATATATGTATGTGTGCTGTGTATATTTATTATGTATATATAATATCAGATATGTAAGAATATGCATAAAAGGGACACGGTAAAAAAAACTCAATCCGTAACGACTGGTGTGTTGAGATCCCGGAAGGTCAGAGGTCAGAGGTGAGTTTGAGAGTGGAAGACGAGGATTTTCTGCGTCTGACGCTGATGGTCAACATCCGCTCTGCGCTCAGCGAGCTGCTCACAGATAACGGGTCCATGTCTGCAGGCAGCACAGACTTATGGGTAAACCGGCCCGCAACAGTCCCATCAGCGGCCGTCTGAAACAGAGACGAGAGGCAGTGTGTTTGTGATGAACTGCACACGATACACTACACTACAACAGTTCTGGAGTCCACACGTTTCTAATGTGTTTTCTGCTCATCAAGGCTGCGTTTATTTGATCAAAAACACAGTAAAAATAGTGAAATATTATTACAATTTAAAATAGCCATTTTCATTGTGAATATCTATTAAGCTATAATTTATTCCTGTGATCAAAGCTGTATTTTCAGCATCATTACTCCAGTCTTCAGTGTCACATGATCCTTCAGAAATCATTCTAATATGCTGATCTGCTGCTCAATAAACATTTCTGATTATTATCAATGTTGAACACAGTCGTGCTGCACAATATTTTTGTGGAAACTGATGCATTTTATTTTTCAGGATTCACAGATGAATAGAAAGTTCAGAAGAAC